TTGTCATGGAGTCCCCCCCCAGGGGTCTCGACCCATTCTCCCGGGGATCAGTTTTTCGTCCCAAATCGTGCGCTCACGATCCCGAGGCCCAGCAGGGGCCCCCCAGGGGCCGAGAGCAGCGGAAACCTTCCCCCGTGCTGTTGTTCCTGCCCCGAGGGGAGAGCATGCTGCTTCGCAGGAGCTTGGGCCCGGCGCACGGAGGGGTCGGAGGAGGACGAATGGAACCCGCCCGTGCATCAGTCCTGTGTACCGACGCAGAAGTTGTGGTGCTTCGTTTTGGCAGCGGGCCAGCTTAGGACTCTCCTTGTTTGGCAGGGGGCCCGCTCCTGGGAGCCCTTGGCATCGCACGGACGTGTGCATTTTTTTGTCGGCGAGGACCATCGAGGAGCATCCTGGACCATCGAGCAACAAAAAAACACGCGCGAAACCGACAAACGCACGGCAAATGGACGTCCGAGCGACGGCAAGAGCCCGCCGCAGCCCGAGCGGAGGGCCCGGCAAAGCCCTGCCGGGAGGACGGGGCGGCGCCGCAGCCCCTTTCCTGCCCTCCCCGGGGCTCCGAGCGGCGCGAGGGGCGCGCCCCGAGGCGCGGCCGCGCGCCCCGTGCCCCTCGAGGAAGAAAAGCCAGCAGGCGCACGGCGGGCTTTTGCGGGTCTTGGCATCGCTCGGGCGTGTGCATTTTTTCTCGGCGAGAACCCTCGAGGAGCATCGTGGACCATCGAGCCAAACAAAAAAAACACGCACGAAACCAAACAAAAATGCACGGGACATGGACGTCCGAGCGAGGGCAAGCGACGGGCTCTTGAGGGCGGTCATCTTTGGACTCCCACAGGGGAGCAAAAAGTGACATACCAACATAAGAACTCGGAGGTCCGCGCGGATTGCTCGGATCGGCGCTAGGGCCCCCCCGGCGGCGCCTCCGGCGCCGCCCCTGGCGCGCTCCGCGCGCCAGGGAGGGAGGTCCAGCGCCGATCCGAGAAATCCGCGCGGAACTTCGAGTTTTTATGATTATGTTACTTTTTGCTTCCCTATCCCAGATGCCAGTCGACAGTCGGCCCGGATTCGTAGGTCGACCCTGCCAGCTGAAGGGTCACCTCGTGTCCTGTGCCTCGCGACGCGTGCCTTCTTACAGCCAAGACCTGGACACAAGGACCGCTTTGGGATCGGAAGGGGCTCGCTGTTCCTTGAGCTTTTCGATGGCTGTTCCTTTGTCACTCCTCGTACACCCAGGCGCTTCTGGTGCCAAAAAGGGGCTTCGTTCCTTCTTTAGCGTTCCTTCTGGTAGCACCTCGACTGTACACTTCTAAGGCGATGTGGCCCTCGGAAGGGTCTCGTGTCCTCTCGCGTGTCCCGTCCAGCCAAGGCCGACTGTACTCCGGGCGCCTCCCTGCCTCAAGGATCGAGCGGTTTCCCGCCCTCGCTCCTCTGGCAGGGGGGCGGGCGGAGAGCCAACATGCCTCCTTCTACCTACTTTTCAGTCGGGCCTGTCCCTCTACAGGAGGGATATTCAAAAAATTATACAGAAATGAAACAAGTCTGGGGAGGTTTTTCCAATGTTTGATCATTTTGAGGGCATTGTTTGAGTATTTATTAGTTTATTTTTCGCCCAAGATCCCCTTGTAGGGGCACAGGCCCGACCTAAACCTACTTCTCCCGACCGACGGTCACACACAAGCTTTTGACGTCGGGAATCTACTGGCCCAGGTCAATCCAATTCCGGGTCAGGATCAGGATCCTGCAGGCTCTTGCAGGATCCTGCGCCCGAGCCCGGGTCCATGCACCTCTGGCCCTGCAGGAGCCTGCGCTCTGACTGACACCCCTTTGCATTGACCCCCGTCTCTTGAGCCCCGACGACGCTCCGCACGGATTTCGGGGACCTGCGCAGGAACCCCCTGGCGGCGCCTTCGGCGCTACCTCTGGCGCGCTCCGCGCGCCAGGGAGGGGGTCCACCGCAGATCCAAAACATTCGCGCGGACCGTTCGAAGCTTACAGAATGTTCGCGTCGTGTCGACCGGCGGCGACCCCGCCGCCCGCGCTCAACGTTGAACGCCGCCAGCGACCCAGCATCGGCCGATGTTGAGCAATCGGACGTTCCGAAAACGGCCGATTGTTCAGAGTTGAACGATCCTGACAGGGTCGACATGACGCGAACTTGCCGCAGGTCTGTGCGGTTCTTTCTTCCTCTAGCCGCGTCTAGCCGCGCTGCCCAGGGCCTCCCAGGTGGGGCCAGTCGAAGAACAACAAACGGCAAAAACACAGGGATCACTTCGACTCTCAAGATTCGATTCGCTTCGGATCCAAGGGTTTCAGCTTGCGATTCGATTCGACCTCGGATTCCGATCTGGATTCCGACGCCTCGACGGAGGCCCTTTTGGCCTGCCGATTTGGATGTCTGCCGACTTGGCTGCCGTCCGTAGCCATTTTGGCTCAGGCGATCGCACGGCCCCGCTCGCGCGCGCCCCCTTCTCGGCGCGGCGCAGCTGCGGGATGTCGGGGCCCAGAGGGGCTCCCTCGGCCCTCGGCGCCTCCCTCGTGGAGGCCGCCGTTCGGGCCGCGGTGCTGGCTGGGGCGCCGCGCCGCACGGCTGCGGCAGTCACGAGGTCGACCACCTCCGCCACGCTCCTCGCGTGCGGGGAGCGGCCGCTGCGGACGGCCGCAGGCTGCTGCGGCTGCCCCCGACGACGACGCGCCGCTTGCTGCGCGTCCTGCTGCTGCGGCGGCGTCGACGCCCAACCCTCGCTGTTCGGCGAGCGGCGGAGGCGTCCCCCGCTGCGGCGGATGGTGACAGTGGCGCTGATGCTGGCGGTGCGGGCAGGGGCCTCGTGCCCGTGCAGGTGCCGCTGGAGGATGGGCCCGCTGCCGGGGAGGAGGTGTCTGACGTGCTGGACAACGAGCGGGCCGACTCGGCCCCCGTGCAGCGCGCGCGGCCCCTCTGACAGGGCGTGCCACGATGTGGGCCGGCTCAGGGTGGCGGCTGCTCGGCGGCTGCGGCTGGCGGCGCGGGCGCGGTGGCGCTTGAGCCGCCAGCCCCCGCGGAGTCGGCGGCAGACCCCTCCCTCGGGCTCTTTGTGGAGGAGGTCAAGGCGAGGGCCGACGTGAGGAAGAGGGCGGCGGCCATCGTCGTTTTCGGACGCTAGCGTGGTCGGGGGCCGTTGCGGGCCCCCCGTGTGCACAGGACCGCACCAGGTTGCGTCTCGCGCTTCCTGGTGTTTTGGTTATGTGCCAGGGCTGCCCCGAGACAGGCCCGGAAGGAAGACGCGGCTAACTTGGCGCAGCCTCCCTTGCACTGCAGACTTCAGGCGTCGCTGCACCTGTCTCGGCTGAGGCCGTGGCTCTCTCCATGGCCACCTGTCACTGCAGCTGGAGCCTTGCGAGCAAAACACGATTTGGCTGCCGATGTCCGCCGATCGGATTCATTTCGACCGCCGATCTGACTTACTGATTCAATTCGGGGGCCTCTTGCCTCCAGGGGCGCGAAGAGAATCGCGCTTCGCGCGTCGCGGCTTGGGCCAGAGAGGCTGCCCGTTCCAAGAGGGCGTCGCGGGGGTGCGAGGGCGCGAAGGTAGTCGCGCAACGCGGGTCGCGATGCGCAAAGGTAGGCGACCTTGAAGCATAACTGTCCTGAGCTCCGCGCGGATTTCTTGGATCGGCGCTGCCGCCCCCTGGCGGCGGTTCTGGCGCCAGCGCTGATCTAGGAAATCCTTGCGGACCTAAGAGAAAACATGCTGATACATTCGGTCGTTCCAGCCGCAGACGAGTTTTTGCCCCAGTCCGATATTAAGGGGAGTACCTGTGCCCCCGCTCGTCTGGGAGGGACCTCGTCGCCGCAGCTAGATTTTGAGAAAGTCGGGTCAGAACGCGCCCTTGGGAAGGTCCAGGGAGCAGCTCCATCCAGGCGTCACTGGCGACTTTTCGCGTTTATCCCCGACCCCTAAGATCTCCGACGAGATGCTTCATTCAGCCCCGGCGTTGTTCGTAGATTTCGGCCTGGGGCCTGTAACGGGCCCCCGGAACCTTCAGACACGGAGCCGAGACGTAAAACTACCCCCGTGGAAGGGGTCGGGGCCTCTTAGTCGGCGGACTGAGGTAATCAGGTCGTCGGGTGTCTCGAGCCTCAAAATTATTGTCGTTTTAAAAAAAACGTCGAACTCGGGAGATGACCCGCAGGGGACAATTCGGACGCACCCCTGTCGCGGGTTGGCGCCCAATCCAGTTGACTCCCTTGGTGATTCCTTTCGTTGGTCGACGTCTTTTGTATATCCCCGAATTGAATGCACTGTTTGTGGCCTGTTCGAAAACCAACAAAAACGTGGAGTCTGGCGTTGACGTCTGCATGCCCCCAATTACCTAGACTATTTTCTCGCTGCAATTCAAGACGGGATTTTTTTTCCATGTTCGTCCTCTTGGGGCCATCATTGGTTTTCGGGACAATCAAAAGGCGACTCAGGGTGAAAACTTGGTCTCAGGGAAGAGGTTCAGACATGTAGGGGTCCACGTCTATAATGTTAAAACATTGGTGGGGGGTTGGGTAGATGGGGTCCGAAGACGACGCCGATGCAACGCAATCCGCCGCCAACTTCGATACGGCGGAACCCAGAGCCCGATTTTTTTGCTTCCGACGCCGCTGGTTCAGTGGCGTGGCGCTGCGGCGTGACCCTCCGACCCCAGTTTCTCCGGACCCATTTGTCGGGGAAGCGTAAGATTCGAGTGCGCCGGATGTCGGGTTTGCCGACGTTTTTGACGAGCGTGTCCTGGATGTTGACGGCCCAGTTTTCGTGGGATGTCTGTAGCGGGAACTCGCGTCATATTGCAGACTGGGTCTCGTCATTCTCCTGATGGCCCCGTCAGGGCAACCCGGGCCCCCCGAACCCGAGTCTTGCGTTTCCCCCATTCCGACCCCATCTGCTCCACACCCATCTGGGAAGCTTCCGGTCGCGCGCGGGCACGATTCCGCTTGCAGCAGGGGCTGAGGGGCCCCTGCGGCGAAGTCGGTCGCGGGGATGGCTGCCGAGGGCGAGGACCCGCTCAGTCCGAATTCAGCGTGCTTCTGTCGTTCCGAAGTCTTGAGTGCTTGGCATATCTCGGACGTGCGCGTTTTTCCTCGGCGGGGACCACCGAGGAGCATCTTGAATCAACTTGGAACAGAAATCATGCAAGGTTTAGGCGGAACAGAAATCATGCAGGGTTCAGGCGGCCTTTGGAAAATCTAAGACGTTTTCGGATGATTCCAAGAGGGTCTTGAAGGGTGTAATGGGGGGGGGGGGTTGGAGGGGAGGGGGGTGTTTGGGGAGGGAGAGAGTCTGCAATGGTTTAGCAGGGGGGCTGGTTCTGAGGACTTCGGAGGGTTAGTGGAGGCTCAGGAGGGTGGGGGAATGTTTTGGGAGGGTTTGGGTGGGTTTGGAAGAGGGCGGCTGCTTCCTAGGACAAGCTTTTCATCCTAGGCAGTTGTTGTTGACGGTCCCTTGGCCTGGCGAGGGCCCCAATAGACGGACAAGGTTCAAAGAGCATCCGTCAGGTCTTTTCTCGGCACGTTCCAGGACACCAGACGATCTGAGTTGTTTTTCAGTTGCGGCGCCAGAGGTCCCGATTCCTTCCCAAGGCGTAGCTTTGCATGCCAGATCCGTTGTTGATTGCTTCGGGTTCCGACAGCGGCACCCGATGGTCAAAATCGGAGGAAGGCGTCGCGTCTCGCAGAAATCTTATCGTCGGAGACCTGGGGGCACGAGAAGGTGCCGAGAATGACCGCTAATCCCTGGATGCGCTCTGACCAAGACTTCGAGGAGCATCCAGCCATTGCGACGAGAGCTCTCCAGGACGAGGCCAGATCCCCGACGTAACGAGTGTGACACGCAACGACCCCCAGAGGTCTCGACCCATTCCCTGGGACCAGCTCTCCATCCTGTGTGCTTTTTGGCGACCCCTTAGGTGTTCGATTGTGGATCCCTTCTTGAACGCAGCCATCCAGGGCTTGCGCCGAAGACCATTGGAAACCGGCAGTGGCCGCTGGAAACCAGCGAAGACCGCCAAGTCTTGCCGAAGGCCGTCAGAAGACCGCCGAAGACCGCCCGAAGACCGCCAAATACGGCCCAGGAGTAGTGGGTAACCAGGGGGTCGATGGTCGAACACGTAGGCTCCCGAAGCCTGGGCAGGGACCCTTGAGGCCTAAGATAGCAAGACACACGTTCCGTCCTGCTTGTTTCATGCCTCGAGGGGGGGATCTGGGCATCGGCAGCGTCTCTCCTCTGAAAGGACCCGTTCGCCGAGTTCCTCTCGCAGGAGCCGGCGGCGGAGGCCCCCGTGGCGGCGGACGCCGAGTCGCAGCTGGCGGCGCTGGCCGCCAGCGCGAAGCGCCAGGAGCAGCTGCTCGGCAAGGCCGGGGGCGGCCCACGCTGCGGCGCTCGGGAGAGGGCCTTGCCTTCGAGTGTGGGGTCACATCCGAAGCCTGCCCTCGCTGATCGGCGGCCCAGGCGACTCGATGGGCGGCGGGGCCATAGGGTGCGGCGTTCGTCGAACGCGTGGCGAAGTCCGAACCGTATCTCTGCCCCCCGTCGATTCGGGAGGCTCGATGGCTGGTGGGGGTGGGGTTTTGGATGTCGCAGCCGATCGAGTTGATCAGGTAGGCATCTCTGCTTCGGCGGAGGGCGGCGGAAGGCGTTTGCGGAAGCAAGCCGAGGGCGGCTCCGCCAGCGGAGGGCCGGCGGAAAGCGCAGATACGCCCCCAGCAGATGTCAGTGTTGTTGGAGCAGATGTCAGTGTTGTTGGATTCAGGGAGTGCGGCACCCGCCATCTCGGGCCGGTTGATCTGGGTCGGTGCCGGCTCTGTCTGGCCCAAATTTGGATCGATCCCGAGGTTCCAGCGACTCTCCAGAGAGGAGGGTTCCGATCTCGCGGCTCGTCCTCCAGAGCTCTCGTCGGCACGCCTGGGTTCTCGACGAAGTTCTAGGCAAAGCGCACCCTGGGAGAGATCGGGGGGGGTAGCGGCATCGTTTTTTGTTTCTGTTCCCCCAGGTTCAGTGCCGCGTTTTCCGCGTTCACGCGTTTTCGCGTTCTCGCGTTTTCGCGTCCAGGGCAATCAACGTTTTCCGCGTTCTCGCGTTTTCGCCTCCGATGCGCTTCCGAGGCTTGTGCATGATCCCCGAGGTAACCCCAAGATGCCTCCCAGAGGCGCCCAAGGAGACCCTACTCTATTTCCTGTATTGAACGTGGGTGGTGTAATGTTTACAGCGCGCACACCAATTTAATGTTCGCCGGCGCTGGGCCCCGAAGAATATTTACCGCCGGCCCTCGCGAGATGGCGGCTTAATTTTCGCTGGCACCTATGAATACAGATCGTTCGCAAAATTGACGGTTATTGGGATGTGCATCCTACAGATGTTCGTCAATGATGCAGCAACCGCGCTCGCAATGCACGTATCCCGCGTTGGTTCACATTCGCCTACTGGGAGAATTACCACACTCTTTGATCATAATGTTTGCGCCATGTCTTGTGGATCTGACTTGAGGGGTGCGTCATGCGTTTTCTTACTTACGAATTCCAGAAGGTTGTGGCGGGATAGGTCGAGAGAGCAGCACGATATATGTTCAACTCAACGCATGTGGCAGAATCTGTTTCATCTTTTCACCATCATCCTCATGATCCTGTGATCGTCTTCGCCATCAACATCGTTATCACCATCATCAGTACGACATTCATTGCACTCACAATTAGCATTGGCGACTCTGAGATAGTGCATAATTTTCGCCGGCGCTTGGGCGACGTATTTTTCGCCGGCGTGAAGACTAGGCCCTGGGATAATTTTCGCCGGCGTGGCACCCCCCACGACGTTTGCCCCACCACGTTGAATAAGGGAAATAGAGTAGGAGTCCACGAGCACGCTGGGAGAGGCACCCACGAGACTCCAAAGAGTCTCCCAAGAGGTTCCGGAAAGCCCCCGAGAGCCCCCCAAGAGGCCCCCCCCGGCTCCCAGAAGCCCAATAAGCGCCCCTGAGCCCCCAGGAAGTTCCCAAGAGGCCCCAGAGCCTCCCGAGAGCCCTCGAGACCCCGAAGAGGGCCCCCAAGAGCTCCCACCGAGATCCCACGAGACGCCCGCAGCACGCTTGTGTCCTTTCCCTCCTCCCTTCACCTCCTCTCTCTCTTACTCCTTCCTTCCTCCGCCTCCTCACCCAACTCCCTGCCGCACGAAGTGATCGAAGGCCCAACTTGAAAAAATTATCCCGGCAAAGCAACCTAACAGCGATGTGTAGAAGCATATCTGAAAGCATTCCCCTTAAGATTCAGATGAAAATCCAGTTGTCGAATTCTGCTGTTCCCGCAGTCGTAGTCGCATTCGCGATGACAGTCGCAGCGGCAACGGCAGTCGCAGTCACAGCCTCAGCCTCAGCCTGCCTCCTCCTCCTCCTCCTCTTCTCCTGCTCCTCCTCCTCCTCCTCCTCCTCTCTTCCTCCTGCTCGTCTCGTTCTCGTCCTCCTCGTCTTGCTCGTCTCCTCCTCCTCGTCCTCCTCTCCTCCTCGTCCTCCTCCTCCTCTTCCTCCTCCTCCTCCTCCTCCTCCTCCTCCTGGTAGTCCTCCCCCTCCCCTCCTCCTCCTCCTCCTCCTCCTCCTCCTCTTCCTGGTCGTCCTCGTTCTCGTCCTCCTCGTCTTGCTCGTCCTCCTCCTCCTGGTGTTCTCCTCCTCCTCCTCCTCCTCCTCCTCCTCCTCCTCCTCCTCCTCCTCCCTCGTTCTCCTCCTCCTGGTGCTCTCCCCCCCCCTCTCCTCCTCCTCCGTCCTCCTCCTCCTCCTCCTCCTCCTCCTCCTTCCCTCTTCCTCCTCCTCCTCCTCCTCCTCCTCCTGGTAGTCCTCCCCCTCCCCTCCTCCTCCTCCTCCTCCTCTTCCTGGTCGTCCTCCTCCTCCTGGTCGTCCTCCTCCTCCTGCTCGTCCTCCTCCTCCTCCTGCTCGTCCTTCTTCTCCTGCTCCTCCTGCTCCTCGTCCTGCTCCTGCTCGTCCTCGTCCTCCTGGTCTTGCTCGTCCTCCTCCTCGTCGTGCTCTTGCCCCTGCTGAAAATGTGGCCCAGGAATGGGGTCTGGGAAGTCGAAGAGCACGAAGTTGCCTACAGTTGGCTACGGGCATTCAAAATGTGGCCCGGGAATGGAGTTCTGGGAACTCGAAGAGCACGAAGTGGCCTACAGTTGGCTCCGGGCATTCAAAATGTGGCCCGGGAATAGAGTTCTGGGAACTCGAAGAGCACGAAGTGGCCTACAGTTGGCTCCGGGCATCCAAAATGTGGCCCGGGAATGGAGTTCTGGGAACTCGAAGAGCACGAAGTGTGTGACAGTTGGCTCCGGGCATTCAAAATGTGGCCCGGGAATGGAGTTCTGGGAACTCGAAGGCACGAAGTGTGTGACTGTTGCATCCGGTTATTCTAAATGTGGCCCGGGAATGGCGTTCTGGGATCTCGAAGAGCACGAAGTGTATGACTGTTGCATCCGGGTATTCAGAATGTGGCCTGGGAATGGAGTTCTGGGAAGTCGAAGAGCACGAAGTGTGTGACTGTTGGTGAAAAACGAGCCCGGCACCCTGCCGCCCGGCAACTCCCCAACACCTGCCCGGACCCCCCTGTGGAGTGATCTGTGAGCTCTTTTGAGACCACTAGAAACCTATCAGTCTTCGCTGTTAGGTAACAAGTGTTGTTCAAATTCGATCTTCCGTAGCTTTGGCTCAAGGGGAGCGAGCGAGCTGGGGCAATGGGGCAATGGGCTTTAGATTAGTTGTTTGAGCGTGCTGAGTGCGGCACGGTCTCATGGTGTGCGGAGGTCTGCTTACACACACCAGTGTTGTGCTCGTTTGCCCGCATGGGGGAAGACAGCTGCGTCGGGCAGACTCTGCGGCGTTGGCGGCCGAAGGTGTTATTTTGGCTTGTGATGTATTTGGGCCAGCAGCGTCCGTTCTATGCTGCCTCCGGCTACACATACACCACAAAGCACTTGGACCGGCCTGCCATTGCCAAGGCGCTCATAGACGAGCTCTTCCTGGGCATCGACCCGCTGCTCGCGGAGGCTTCGCCGAACTCCGTGGAGAGCGCGATGCCGCCGGACAAGGGCATGACGCACGTGTCAGCAAATGATATCGACATGGTGCTCGAGATGGCAGCACAGCCAGTGCTGCTGTGGCTCGAGCTCGGCGCCTTCGAGGGCGGGTCCGCAATACTGACAGCCCGCCGCGCCGAGGCCAGGGCCGCGGCGTCCGAGGCGCTCGACGCCAGGACAACCGTCGTTGCTGTCGACACCTTCCTCGGCGACAGGAAGGTGATCTGGGAGAGGCCTCCAGAGGAACGGCGACAGCTCCTACGCCCTGATGGCACCATCGCGTTGTACGACCGTTTCCGCACGAATGTATTGAGAGCTGGGTCCGCGGCCGCCCTGGTGCTGCCGTTGCCCGCCACCTCCGTGACCGCGCTGCGGCTGATGCCTGGCCTGGCCGACCGGGGCCTGCTGCCGAGGCCACAAGTGATCTACCTCGATTCAGCGCACGAGGCGGGGGAGGTGTTCCTCGAGTTGCAGCTGGCTTGGGAGGCCGTTGCCCCCGGCGGGGTGATCTTCGGCGACGACTGGAGCATCGAGGCGGTGCGGCGCGACGTGTTGTCTTTTGCGGCGGCGCGGGGGGCGGGCGCGGACGACTCGCTGGGGCGGCAGGCGGCCTCCGCCCGCAGCCCGCGCACGCTGGGCAGGGTGCGGCGGGGCCTCTTCGTGTCGTACCTCAGCTTCCAGTGGTTCATGCGGAAGTCGCCAGAACTGGCTGGTGCCAGCGGAGGAAGCATCTCTTTGACCGAGAGCATCGCTACTCTTGGAAGTCAAGGAGACGTTGGCGAGGACTGCTGGAGCGGTGGCTTTGGCGCAGCAGATTGTTGCGATGAGGACCGGTATGGCCGAGGGGGCAATCCAAAATGTTGGGACCTCATCTTCACTTTCGACAGCTGCTGCCAGGAAGCAGCGGCGACTTGGTGAGCCAGGGGCATGCGGGTGCTGAGTCGACTGGCCAGGCTGGTCCATTCGTCTTTTTTCTGTTCAGTCTAGTCCTCGTCGATGGCTTCCGCATTCGCATCCAGGTCCTCCTTCTTCGCCTCCTCCTCCCCGCCATCCTTGTCCTCATCCTTTTCAAGCGTTGCTCACGCACGAAATATTGCAGTCTCCGCATTGCCGCCGCTATTGCCATATGCGGACCAGGCCACGATGGTGCCCTCGCTTACAGCTTCTCACACGAGCAGCAAAGAAGTGTTGTTCAAGTTCGACCTTCCCCCCTCCCCGAATGTGTTTACGCCTCTCCCATCCCTGGCTGTCCGTTCCCACTGATCTCTCTCATGCTTCCCGTTCCACATCCTTCTCCGTCTTCTCCCCCCCTGGTTCTCGAAGACACCCCAGTAGGCCCCAAGATCTCCTTGTAGACCTCCAAGGGCACACCCAGGGGCCCTCAAGACAAGCCAAATGGCCACCCAGCAGTTCCCAAGAGACCCCCAAGGGACGTTCTGCGTCCAGCAGGCTTCTGACCTCCAAGACACCCACACGAAGTTCCGCCGCCAAAAACCCCAAGAGGCCCCCAAGAGGTTCCAGGAGGCCCAAGAGGCGCCCCCATGAGGCTCAAAGAAAGCTTTTTGGACGCCCCCAGACGCCCCAAGATATTGCCGCGAGACACCCGGGATGGCGGCGAATTCGGAGGAGGCGGCTCCTCTCTCCTCAGTGTTCTATCCTCCCTCCTCCTCCTCCTCCTGCTCCGTAGCCATTTCGGCACAATATTTGACGGCTCAAGAAGTGCTCCCCAGGATCCGATTTCCCCTTGTGCTGCTATGGCAGTGGCGCCCAGCCTCCAGCAGCAGAAGTGGTCATCACCCTTGCGGGCAATACTTATATCCATATCCAGAGCGTCGTGGACTTTTTGAGAAGGGGTGCCGCAAGGCCGAGGCGCACTGGATATGGATAAATACCAAACCATCTGGGGCAAGATTTTTGCCCATATCCAGTGCGCCTCCTGTTTCTGGGGAAGAAAGCCCAAAGCTCCAAGACGCACTGGATGTGGATATAGCTAGTGCCCGCAACCCTCACGGTCGAGTCGCCGCAGGCTCGAACGACCTCTTCGAGGTCGAGCCCCTATGCAGCGCAGACGGCTGCCTGCGGCTCTGCCGCGCCCGATCTCTTGGCGCCCTTCTGCGGGGGCAGCTGCTCTGCGTTTCCACGGGCACCTCGCGGACCCCGTGGGAGCGCTCGCCGGCTCGTTCCGTCTGCACGGGCTGCTCTCTGGATGCGCCAGTGCAGTGCCGTTTTTGATACATGCTCCGGGTGCGACTCATGCATTAAACATGCAGGGATTTGGTACTAAAACCAAAGATGCGTTCATGCATAAATTTACTCATACATTAATTATGTATCAAAGATCCTATATGTTTAAAAACCCTATGTATTAAAAACTGCCCTGTAGTCTACAGCGATGGTTGGCAGGAGGCCATCTTGCCACAGAGGCCCTCTTGCCGGAGAGGCCAGACCTGGCGCGCTGGGGCTGCGGCCTCGTGCGCGCGGCGCTCGAGGGCCCCGGGCCCCTGCCGCGCCCCTCGGTGCCCGCTCATGCCGGCGGATGGTCTCGGCGGCGCGCGCTGTGGGGACGCGGAGGTCTTCCATGGGGCGGTATGCTCTCTTGCTTCAAGTCGGGCCTGTCCCCCTACAGGGGGATATTCGACGAAAAATAAAACATACCCCCAAAAAAGTAAAAACAAAAAAAATCCAAAAATAGTCTGGGAACTATTTTTTGAATATTTTTCGACCCTTTGGAGTATTTTTGGGGTATTTTGGTTTTTTCGTCGAAAAGCCCCCTGTAGGGGACACGCCCGACATAACTCTTGCTTCGCCTATTGTCTCTGCCGGAGGCCCTCTCCGATGCGGGCTGCGGCTCTTGAGGGCGAGCCGGGGCGCCCGGCGCTGGGGCAGGCGGAGGGCGTGCTGCGAGGCGCTGCTGCGCGAGGTCTGGGCAGCCTGCCGCTCCAAGGCGGCATCGGCACGCGCCCGCGTCCACGCCCCGCTGAGGGCTCTGCTGCTGCAGGTGCGGTCTCCAGACGACCATGGCCATGTGCGGAGGCTTCACGGTGCCCCTCGCCTGTCGCCAGCTTGCGGCGCGACTTCGGACCGATAGGATGCACATGGGACGGCCTCGTCGGTAGCAACGAGCTTGTGCGATGCAGCTGGTGCGGATGGCGATGCTGACCTTGGCCTTCTGGCCAACGGCACCGTTCGTGTGTTCGTGCATGGTGTCAGCCTTCACCAGCACTGCAGCGTCCTAGACGTCGCTGGCAGCTTGGACAGACTACCGGTGCAGCGGTCAATCATTTCGGCGAGTTCCACATGTTGCAGTGCCCCGTGCCTGAGCATGTTGCAAACAGCGTTGTGCCACCTGGTCACAGCAGCAGCACAATGAGGGTTCGCTTAGATGCTGGCTCATGGGCGCTGCCTGTACAGAACATCTGTGTCGACACGGCCGTGACGCGTCGCAAGGTTGTTGGATGCATGGCTCCTGTCTTCCGCTTCCAAGAAGTGGAGCATGTGGTCCAGCAGTGGTTGCATTATCATATTGCCGTTGGCGTGGAGATGATCATATTGTACGACATAGATGGTACTGCGAAGGGCAAGCTTGAACTGCTAGGCATCCCTCCGAGCTCCTCCGCCGAGTCCCGGGCTCGCGGCTGTCGCCCCTGGTGCCAGAGCTCCTGGAGCACGGCGCCGGGCGCCTGCGGGTGCGCGAGCTCTTCAACCACCTCGCCCAGAACCACTGGCTCTTCCAGGTGAGGGGGCGGGCCGACTGGCTGCTCAACGACATGGCTCTCGACTAGTACCTGGCCGTGCCCTCCGGCGGCCCCCTCGGCGTGGGCAAGGTGCTCGAGCGCCTGTCCAGGGCCCGCGGAGGCGCTGCGACGCTGGATCTCCCCTGGGCCCACTTCTCGGGGCGCCTGGGCCGGCGCAGCCCCTGCCTCGTGGAGGCCCTGCAGCACCGGCAGCCTCGCCAGGAGGCGCCGCGCGCTGGCGGAGCCGCCCCGACGTACCTGGACCTGCAGGCCGGGGACCCCGTGGTAAGCCCGGCGACCGTGCTGACGGTATAGCCTCCGAGATGGCGATCGGGCGTCACGGGACGGTCCACGCCGAGGGGAGTGCGGAAGGCTTCCTCCGCTGGAGCCACTACGCCACTACGCCGACCTGCACGGCCCGCGCCTGGACGGACTCCCTGCGGACGTGGCCGACAACGGGTCCGCGTGGGCGGCGCGGCTCCTGCGCGCGTTGGCGCCGCCACCTCCCGACCTGGCCGACTGGGCCCCCGGCGCCTGGTGCTTGCACCTCGGGCCGGACGAAAGGGGGGGATTGGGAAAGGGGGGGTTACGAAATTTGCTGCATGCAGCTGGTTTCGGCCCCACCGAGGGGCCCATTCCTCGATACATAGTCGCCTCCGGCGCCGGAAGGCGCCGGGAAAATCAGCTACGTGAGCTGATTCTCAACCCCCCCTTTGCTATCCCCCCTTTCGCCCGACCCGAGGCACCCTGGAGCGTGCGCGAGGAGCTCCGGAGACTCTGGAGGCATATGTCGTCGTCAGGCTCGGCCTCCAGAGGCCGCCGCCGGAGGCCTGCTGTGGCCGCCGTGGCACGCGAGGCTGCCGGAGCTGTGCTGCCTGGCGGGGGGCGGCGGGGCCGTGTCCTCCTCCTCCTCCTCCTCCTCCTCCTCCTCCTCACCCTCCTCCTCCTCCTCCTCCTTCTCCTCCTCCTCCTCCTCCTCCTCACCCTCCTCCTCCTCCTTCTCCTCCTCCTCCTCCTCCTTCTCCTCCTCCTCCTCCTCCTCGTGTCTCCTTCGTCTTGCCTCTCCCCGCCTCCCTCGCCCCGCTGCCTGCTGCAATGAGCCATTGGAGCCCCAACCTGGATGAACTGGAATTCCCACAAATGCATATTTGTTTCAAGTTCGCCCCCCCATGGAAACCTATGCCTAGCGCTGGCGTGCCAAAGATTTGGTCTCTAGCTCACCCATCCCTCGCCCTCCAGTTTTGTTTGTTCTCTGTCTCTTTCTTTCTCTGTCTCTTCTCCTCATTTGGCGTCCTCTTTCTCACATTCCACATCTCCCTCCCTGTTCTCCCTCTCCCCTTCGTGCCCTCGACGCCGTCGCCGCCGCGGGTCCCATAGTGCTTTCAGTACACATGAGTGCTTTCACTTTCCCGAATACCCAGCCGCCCACGATGGACCCAGATTTCCCCAATTGCGCCACATGATTTCCAAGCAATTCCCCCGATTGCCAGACGACAGTCTCACGAAGGCCCAAGACAGCCCACGAGGCTTCCAGGCTGTCCTGAGTCATGCAAGGCCGTTCGGCCGAGCGCGTGTTACTGCCGTAGGCTCCGCCTATGCTTCATCTCGTGTTTCTGCAACAGGCTCCGCAGGCGTAGAACTTGAGCGCGCGCGAAGCGCGCGATAGTTCTAGGTTGTGTAATATACACATATATATATATATGAGAGAGACGGCTAATTATACCTATAGTGTTGGTTTCGCTTGCGTTATCGTCTTCGCGTGTTCGTGGAAGTAGTCGATTGGAGGCGGGGCCAACAAACTCGACCAACCCACCAACTCCACCGACTCCACCAACTCCACCAACTCCACCAACTCCACAAGCTCCACCAGCTCAGACAGCTCCGCCAACGCCACCACACTCCAGGAGATGGTGGAGCTGTTGGAGTTGGGGGAGTTGGTGGCCTTGGTGGAGTTGGTGGAATTGGTGAAGTTTGTGGGGATGGTGGAGTTAGTGGAGTTGGTGGATTTGGTGGCGTCGGTGGAGCTTGTGGAGTTGGTGGAGTTGACGGAGCGTTTGGAGTCTCACCCCACCAACCCCACCAACTCGACAAAATCCACCATCTCCTCCAAGTCCACTAAGTCTAGGAGCTGGTGGAGTCGATGGAATTGGTGGAGTTGGCGGTTGACGTCGGTGAGACGGCCCTGAAGAATTGGTAGTGTTTGTGGAGTTGGTGGAGTAAGGCTTCACGATTTCCACCAAGTCCACCAACTTCACCAACCCCACCAGCTCACCAATTCCACCATCTCCACCAACTCCACCAATTCCCCAGGCCGTCCGCCCCGACCCTCACCGCCAACTCCACCGACTCTACCAACGTCGCTCCGATTTCAACTCTGCTTCCGTCAACCGCCGATGTGTTCTCCTTCTTCGTTTGTCGGTCCAGCGCGTCTCTATCATGGCGACTCTTGTAGAAGATACTTAATCTTTTTCTTGTGGAAACCAGCAACTCCTACAAGCTAGCGGCGGGGCGCTACT